CTGGACTCCTGGGTCTGAGGGAGGAGGGGCTGGGGGCCTGGACTCCTGGGTCTGAGGGAGGAGGGGCTGGAGGCTGGGACTCCTGGGCCCTCCCAGCCCCTGCTGTCCTGCCCTAGGCCCGTCGCTCTCCTCTGTGCTGAATGAGCTCCCCAGTGCTGCTACCCTTCGGTACCGAGGTCCTGGGGTTCTGCCGTGGGGGGCATTGGAGGAGGAGGAAGAAGATGGAGAGAGGAACGTCCAGGCCATCGCAGAAGCCGCCCAAAAGGAGCTGGAGGAGCCCCTCCCCTCCCGGGAACTGCCCTGGCCCATGCAGGCCCGCCGGGCACACAGGTGAGTCCCCCCTCCCGCTTCCCAGCCAGGTGAGGACCATAGTCTGACTTGTTGGTGCTGTGTCTGCTTCTCACTCGGCTGTCTGTCTCTGCTTCTCTGGCTTCTTTCCCCCGCCTGGGTCTCTGCTTCTCTGACTCCAAAGAGTCCTGTTTCCCTGACTCTGGGACTCTTCCCTCGCCCGGGTTCATGTTCTCTGTCTCTACTCTGGCGATTTCTCCCCATGCCTGAAATCTGTTCTTCGTGTTTTCCTCTCTGCCTCTTCCATCGTTCCCTTCCCGGTCTACCCGATTTGCAGGGCTGGTGAACAATGAACGTGCTGGGCCGCCTGGGCAACAATTACAGGTTTCCCCCGCTATCCGAAGGACGGCGTCCTATCAAACCTTTCGTAATCCTGCTCAGCATAAAGCAAAGAGTCATGTGGGTCTTTCCTAAAAACAAAGCACTGCACTGCAACTCCGGGCAAGTGCGGGATACTGGTGTTATGCATTTGTACTCGAGAAGAGCAGAACGTGAGAAGCAAGTGCAGGGCCCTTCTGAGGCTGGGGTCGTGTGGCTTGAAATTGTTCTCCAAACCCCATCATTTTGGGTTTTTAGGGTGGTTTTGTCACACAGGCATGCTTGATTAAATCTTTGGCCACTGGCGATGGAATTCAGCCTCCAGCCCGCTCCTCTCCTCCCCCTGGCAGCCAGCCCGCACTCTTAGTTGGGATCCAAAAGTCACCTCGCTTATGTTACAAAAGACGCCTTTATCTCATCGCTTAGGGCATCCCAAGGGTTTTTAAACCTCTGTGCCAGGAAGAGGGACAAAACCCAGATATATATTTATTATAAATCACAGGATCACACCTTCCTTCTTTCCTTTTTTACTTTTCCTTTATATTTGCCTACAGAAAAGTGTACCAAACGTTGTGTATACACTGAGAGATTCCCACCGCAAGATCCCAGGCAAATTCCACATAGGACAAGACACAGCTCTGCGGGACCAGAAGCACCCCACATGCCCCAGATCCCAGACTTCTATGAATATCTTTTTTTTTTTTAAGATTTTATTTATTTATTTGAGAGAGAGAGAGAATGAGAGAGAGCACATGAGAGGGGGGAGGGTCAGAGGGAGAAGCAGACCCCCTGCCGAGCAGGGAGCCCGATGCGGGACTCGATCCAGGGACTCCAGGATCATGACCTGAGCCGAAGGCAGTCGCTTAACCAACTGAGCCACCCAGGCGCCCGAATATCTTTTTTTTTTTTTTTAAAGATTTTATGTATTTGACAGAGACAGCAAGAGAGGGAACACAAGCAGGGGGAGTGGGAGAGGCAGAAGCAGGCTTCCCACCGAGCAGGGAGCCCGATGCGGGGCCCGATCCCAGGACCCCGGGCTCATGACCTGAGCCGAAGGCAGACGCCCAATGACCGAGCCACCCAGGCGCCCCTGACGATCTCGTCCTTGCTTACCTGTAGAGCTTTGCCACCTTCGAGTGCATGCGTAAAGAGCAGGGTGTGCGTTTGCTCCGGAGCTCTGTACACAGATCCTGCAGTCGGGATATCCTGCCTGGCTTTTTATGCATTCGCTGTCTCTTCCTGTTGCTGTGGAGTAATTCCGAGTTACCCACATACTGCAATTTACTTCCTGGTCCCACTGTTGTCTTGTTTCTACATTTGGGTAGTGTCCAGGTGGAGCTGCTGGGCCCTTCCTATTCTGTCTCTGAATCTGTTTCCCTACCAGGCAGAGCCATGCCAGGGACCAGGTGGCTCAGGGATCGGGTTCCAGATCCGCACAGTGGGCCCTGCGGCTTCGGCGGTCCAAGGAGAAGATGAACGCAGGCCTGCTCACCTTGCAACCCTGGGCGTGGACGCTGAAGAGAATTGGGGGTGCGGTGGGTTTGAGGCTGGTGTCTTGGGGCGGGCCCCACTCCCGGGTCTGAGGGATGAGGGATGAGGGTCTGAGGGAGGAGGGGGTTGAGATCCTGGATTCCTGGGTCTGAGGGAGGAGGGGGCCGGGGGGCCCAGACTCCTGGATCTGAGGGAGGAGGGGCTGGGGGCCAGGACTCCTGGGTCTGAGGGAGGAGGGGCTGGGGCCCTGATTCTGGGTCTGAGGGAGGAGGGGCTGGGGGTCTGGACTCCTGGGTCTGGGGGAGGAGGGGCTGGGAGGCTGAACCCCTGGCTCTGAGGGAGGAGGGCCTGGGGGCCTGGACTCCTGGGTCTGAGGGAGGAGGGGCTGTGGGGCTGGACTCCTGGGTCTGAGGGAGGAGGGGCTGGGGGCCTGGACCCCTGGGTCTGAGGGAGGAGGGGCTGGCAGTCTGGACTCCTGGGTCTGAGGGAGGAGGGGCTGAGTGCCCGGACTCCTGGGCCTGAGGGAGGAGGGGCTGGGGCCCTGATTCTGGGCCTGAAGGAGGGGCTGGGGGCCCAGACTCCTGGGTCTGAGGGAGGAGGGGCTGGGGGTCTGGACTCCCGGGTCTGAGGGAGGAGGGGCTGGGCCTGGACTCCTGGGCCTGAGGGAGGAGGGGCTGGGGGTCCGGACTCCCGGGCCTGAGGGAGGAGGGGCTGGGGG